AGCCTTCTGTGGCAGAGAACAAACCAACTTCCAGCTGAAGAGGAAATTAGGAAAAGACGATGGAAATGGATAGGACATATATTACGCAAATCGTCAAACTGCATCACGAGGCAAGCCCTAACGTGGAACCCTGAAGGGAAGCGAAAAAGAGGAAGGCCAAAGAACACACTACGTCGTGAAATAGAAGCAGATATGAAAAGGATGAATTACAAGTGGATGGAGCTGGAAAGGATTGCCCAGGACGGGGTTGGATGGAGAGTGCTGGTGAGCGGCCCATGCTCCTTCACGAGGAGTAACAGGCGTAAGTAAGTAATGGTGTGGCTCGAACTTGCAGGCGCGGTTATTTTGTGTAGCTCGCACCTCTCCACATTAAATATATTATTTTAACCGCAGCCGGAACGTGTTTCTCTGAGGTACTAAGCATCACACCGCTGACCGTCACAATAGGACGAGTCATTTTAAGCTATGATGTGACCGCCAAGTAACAACTTGTTGTTTTAGGAGTCTCATCATTTCATATCGACAATTTGGGGATTGGGTCTATTATTATGGTAGACAAGATAAAGATACCAATACGAACCAGACCATATGTCTATATACCTCTGTATTCCTTCGATTTTGAGCTTGTTGCTTTTACGAAAGCTAGTGAGTACAAACGGTCAAAACTCACTTACTCAGTAGCTACAGACCTTATAAGATATAGGGCTAATTGACGTTATTTGTCCTGTAATCTTTAGGCCGCTTAAGTATTTTAAACCAAGTTCGGAAAAATTGAAGGTCACCGTTGATAATAGGGTGGACTTGAAGTGATCAGCACAAAATCGTGATGGGATTTATAAAAATGTATATATGTTAAAATTGTCTATAAACGTTACGAAGCCGAGCAAAAACGGCTACGTAATTAGATGTAATTTGATGCACCTACCAATATTTATTTGGTAAAATTAAATTTCCCAAAGCGAAGGGCGCAAGCATATTTGTTATGAACAAGCTCTTTAGACACTCCATCTGAAACGATATAAATGCCATTTGTGTCACGCTTTTTCACTATTTAATCAAATGTATCAATTGCTTTTTTTGTTTTCTCTCTATTCCCAGCGTTATCATGGTATACCGTTGAGCACTTATGTTTGGAACATGACTCCTTACTACCCTTTACTTGATATATTCAATGTAGGAGAAAGGTCTGAAATTCCTTCTAACAGAAGCCTGTTACAACAGTTATCTGGAGAATACTAACCACTTACACCAAGTATTATGTTAAGACTGGCGTTTTTTGATTGAACGTTTACACATTTTCCACTATAGTTTTTATCGCAAGCCACTATTTTTTAGACCTCCAGTTGTTTATCATAACACAGATTCCATAAAACATGACAACCATCGCATTTCTTTTTGCTGCCATTAACCATATTTTTGTGCACAAAAATTTCCTCCTCCTTTTCCATCACTATTGTTTCTTGTAACATACTGACTCATCTGAGTAACTAATGTAGTAAATTTTGTAACATTTTGACCATGCCTGTAAACTAGCATGTAACCTTTTTATTGACAATAAATTACCAATATAGGGTTGTGGATAATGAAACATAAATTACCGATTGCAGCACATTTGTCGCAGAAGTAACCTTCTAATGACTTACAGCATCTCAAAAACTCCTGAATGTCGTAAGTTCCAGCACAAACCTTAGGGGATACAGACAGAAGTTAGCGACAAGATATGGCAGAGAATACCAGAAGCACACCTTTTTTGTTCACGAGTAGTCAAATTTCGGAATTTGCTACTGACTGAGGTACTCCAAGCGCCTTTCATGTGTCCTTAAAAAGAAGGCGACATTTTCTTGAGGATTGAGAAGAGTGCTCTACGACAAAACTTCTAACCTTGTTTTCTTTTTATTATTGAATATACCTAAGTTTTACTTGGAGGCATTGTCGATCCATTGCTTTTATATACTGAAGCCTGTTGAGCAATAGCTTCATCCATTTCATTCTGGAACAGTTGACCTATTTAATTGTTGGCGCTAGGTTGTACTGCTACGTCACGTGAGTTGCAACTTACTTTTTTAGTCCAGCCAGATAGGCTATCTTACTCTAATATTCCTGGCACAGATTCAGGATTCCTTAATCAACCCACGTTACAGGGTAAAGCTGTAAGTTTTATTCACATATCTAGTCATTTGAGATTAAGTTTCGCACCAGCCCCAGGCAACCAATAAAGGGGAAACGCACCTTGATGTCTGCCTGTGTGGGGGAAATAATGCGGGTTTTTTCCCTCATGTTGCTCTGTTTTAAATGTCGTTGAATTGTCTACTTTTCTCCTACATACTCGCCGAACCAAGAGAGATTAATCTCCGAAGTTCGGGTGGATTTTGGAGAAATCCTTGAAGTCAAATGACCTCCATCAAGGTTTAGGGGAGTTTTTTGGAAAATATCAAGGAATTTCCCTAGATCTGGGGAAGTTTTGAGGTTATAGTGTCATTTCCCCGAAATTCTCCATAGTGGCTTCCCTAAATCTGGGAGATTCGGGATTTATTTAACTTCACTTCAATTTTTTTAACACACCTTTGGCCTAACCGCAAACGTCTCATGTATTCGTCTTTATTTCCATAACAAATCACACGATAACTTCAATCGATGTTAGAAACTGTACATGTCGAAATAAATTTTTTGAAAAGAAAAAAACGTCATATTGTACAACATTATGGATAGCTGACATATGCTAGAGTATCGATGGCTATGTATTTTAATTGTAACTGCCAAGCTAGCTTAAGCTGACAATAGAAGAAATTTTTCATGGGTAAAACAGCGATTAAGGAGGGTGTTCAGACGAAACGGAATAAAATATGACGTAGAAAACGCCTTCGACTACACTCCCTATCCTTAGTTCGGATGTTGACGCGAACCAGTCCTGAGGCAACAATTTGCACTTAGAGGGAAAGAAGTGCATTCCAAACATTCTGGGATTGTTGCTTAATGCTACCAAAAGACTGCATTTTATCAGCGTCTTCGCCAAACAGAACTATGTCATCTGCGTATTCTAAGTCGATAAATGGGCCTCCTGGTAGGAGATCGATACCCGAGAATTCAGTCGACGAGAATGTTATTTCATCAATAGGTCTATGGTGAAGTTAAACAAAAATGGAGAAAGTGGACAGCCTTGACGTACACCACTTGAGGTTGCGAATTCAGATGACAGTTCGCCATAAGCCCTGAATCGACTGGTAGTGTTCGAGTAAAGAGCCTTCACAAGGTTTATGTACTATTGGGGTACGCCTTTCAATGGCAGACACTGCCACAGAATCTCGCGGTCTACGGATTCAAATGCTGCCTTCAGTCAAGAAAGACCACGATTGTCGAACGTCGACAAGTATGCCTGTTCTGGAACCTGACGAATGGTGAATATGTGGTCGATGCAGCCACGACCACTAAAATCTTTTTTGTTAGCAATATTCCATCCCATCTGTAGGTCATGCTAGTTTTCTCATCATAGTTATCCTGTAGTACAAAAGCACGTGTAGAGAAGTTTACACTCGTGTCAGCTCTCATATCGTTCTACACATGTACGTTTTATTTTGATCTTATTATTTACTGAAAATAGATATTTAAAAAGTATTACTCATAGAGATTGATGCATAATGCATACATGCGTCTTCAGGATTTTTAGCCGCTTCTGACGCGTGCGTTGTAGCATATTGCGAACGTATTCCCATTAACATAATGAAGGAAAGCTAACTCAACTCGTGGGGTTCGTTTCTTTTTCACCTCCTTAGTAATCCCTCGCACTATAGAACCACTCTTCTATAGTGCTTCGATAGGTACTGTCCATTCCTAACATTAGTGTAATCGAGGTTGCCCCCAGCAGAAATCGGTGTCGGAAATTAAGAAATATGGGCTTTGCGTCACCATTGGCGACTAGCGGCTGTATGTAAACCTGTCATACATTGCTTATCGCTACTTGCCCCTTTTGCTTATATTCATTAATCAGTATTGTTTGCGATCATTGCATGAGCCCGAAAATATTTACACATATGATTTGACTTTACTACTTGCTGAACAAGTTAATTTATTTAAGCTACTATTAGATACCTAAAAAATTTCATCTAAATTATTTCAGACTACATTTTAACTAATTACTTGGACATATTCGTGCAATCTCATTCATAACACAATCGCTCTCGAGAACCGTCGATGGACATTTGATCAGTGATGTCTGTATTTCATGATGAAATAGAAATCGAGGATATGGAGTATGATGAAGAATCTGAGACGTATTCCTATCCTTGTCCGTGTGGTGATCGATTCCTAATTACCAAGGTTAGGTTATTTTATAGAGTCCTAAGTTATTCGTTCTGTAGGAGGATTTATTGTGTGGTGATGATATAGCACGATGTCCAAGCTGTTCTCTTTACGTGCGTGTTATCTATGATATGGTAAGTTCGATTTGCTTTAATCTGACACACTTTAGGAAAATGTACTTCCCAACCTGAAAGAATCACCAGCTGAAATAATGGTTTCCTAAAGAATTTCTCTATAATAATTCCAAACATTTCTCGAATTCATTCTTTGAGTCATGATCACTATAAAAACCTCATGAACGACCTTAACCTAAGCCATTTTCATCGGTTTTCAAAAAACTAACTTTCAGTCCATATTTTTCTACTTTTCTTTCATCAAATACAATTGACTAATCTGGTGTGTTTTACATATTTTATATTATTTGATACATCAAAACGTGTATGCTGTTGTAATTAGTACGAACAAGATTTGAAATTTAGAGTTACTTGTATTCTTCACTTGTGCAGTAGGATGAAAATTACCGAAGTGTAAATGTATGTTGACCAATACAAATAAACGGTTCAGTGAAAAAGTTTTGATAAACAGCATTTCATCAAAATTAAGTACATGGAAACACTGCAAGTATTTACTCTGCCTTGCAATGAAAAACAACTAAGTATTTGAGGAAAAATAAATCAGATAATTTTGCATATAAACAACTATTTCTATCCTTGGTCTTCATTTATTAAATCAGTCACGACTGTTTGCAATTCTCTTTTAAAAGTTATAGATGAAAATTTCTCACGAACACGTTCACATCCTGCCTTCCCCAAACGATCTGCAAGCTCTGGATCATTTACAAATCTGAAATAAACACAATTATTTTCTTAGAGCCTAGCGAATTTGAATAAAACAGAAAGGTATTATTTAGTGCTAGGATAATTAAATTCGATTTGCGAATGATTATCAGTTGTTTTGAAGTTTGTCGTAGTCCTTGAATTGTATTATCCTCCAAACCTCAAAATCACATAAAATTTGTTTTTCAATTGAGCTAAAACGATCCATACGAAAGTACAATAGTTATTTAAGTGATTGCATATCCTGTATTGGTGCTTAACTTGACAACTTAAAGTGTAGTCAAAACCGTAGACCATCCAAGTTGCTGGGAGACTAATAAAGTCGATGCAATAGCTTACCTGGATTTAATTAAAAAAATAACTTCGTGCTAATCAACAGACATGAATCAATGCCACTGGGAGGACAAGGTAATATGTGGAACATCAATCACGGACTTAAATACTCAGATCTGAAGTTCCTGAGAGCTGATGACATTACTCCAGTACCCAAAATAAGGTAGGAGAATCGGGATTTTAACCAAGATATTAAATTATTAAGCTGTAGGACATGAAAATATACCATACATTAGTGTATAACTAATGTGGGGAAATTGGGTTGAGCGTAGACTATGCTTCGGTCTGGGCACCTGGCAGTATTCCACCCCTCACATAAATGGGATGATTTATGTGGTGCATATCTATTTGGTACCTCCTTGTAACGATGTTCATGTGTTTAAATAAATAAGTCGTGAACATCTACCCAGGTGGTCAGAACATGTACACTGACCAGGATAATAATAGGTTGTAAAGAGCGACCGAATCAATTTCTAGTACCAGTTTATCGAGTATTGGTTTTTGGGGTATCGCAGACTTCGCGATTCAGATCTGAAAAGTAATCATGATTTGTGGTTGAAAACCTGTTAGGCTGGAGATCAAGTGCAACCACAAATACGCACTCATGAATTTTTCTAAATTTTTACGCTAATATTAACTCATACTTCAATACAGCTGCTGCATTCAATGTATTTAGGACAAACCGGAAGAAAAGTAGGCTTCTAATTCATATAACACACAGTTCCCCAATTTTAGATGAGTAATCTAGATGAAAGCACATACATCACTTGACCTTGTTATGTTATATTGTCTATATAAGGCTTCACCATAATTAGCGCAATGAATCCACCCTAATCAATTTCAGTCATTCTTATACACCTCTATTTTAAATGCAATCGCATGGAAACCGAGCGGAAGATATCTCAGGTACGGCGATTTGGGAGCCTTTATCTCCGTTTCCGATGATGCTTGACAAACATTTATAATCTAGTCAGTCAGTCAGTCAGCTACAACGTAGGACCAGGCACATGTATGCATCGGCCCAGGTTGCCATACCTCATTAGCACAGCAAGATGAACACCGGATTCATAGGAGTGGTTATGTCAAAGGTGGTAATATATAGGAGAAAGATTGCAATAAGGATATAGTATAGGAAGAAAGAATTAGTTCGTAGAAAGAAAGATGTGAAGTGATCTTAATCTCTTAGTTTAAGAGAAGACAGAGAGTGTATACACCGACGCCATTGTGATCGATTCTGAGCCAGTACAAACGCTGACAGCAGAATAGCGCCACATCCAGTCCGTGAAGAGTTTTACGCATTCAATATAGCAATGTCTACCTCGTTATAATTGGTTATCATCTACTTCGCATTTGTAAATAAATAACAAAATTATTTGGTCATTCCATCAACAAAAAATATATGAAGCGTACTTGCTAAGATAGGTAGCCATAGTTTGCGGAAGTTGTTTTATTGGGTGCACTGTACATAGAAATCCTGTAGAATCATGCAAAACAGTTTCTTTAGGACCACCAGAATCCAATGCAATAACTGCTCGGGACAACGACATTGCTTCAATAGGGACAATTCCAAAATGTTCCTTATCTGGGGTGTAAATTACCGCATCACTGGAGGCAATTAACAGAGGTTTGATTTCGGATGAGCACGAACACATGAAAGTGACATTTTCTGAAACCTGCAAAAATTTGCTCGATTCATTACTGATTAAACGTTACATTTCTTTAATTTGACGAGTTTATTCAAACGATTACAACACAAAGAAACATTTCATTATTTTTTCAGTACTTGTATTTATTTAACACATTAATTCTGAGGAAATCCGCTAAACACGGTTTTCGATTAACTGATAGCTGGCCTTCAATCTAGGTCGGTTTGATATCTAATTGAGATACAAGGTTCGGTCTGTTTAGGACGAGACATTCGCTGGCGAATCGATACAATGAACCAATCAGCCAGATAGTAAGCACACGCCATTGTAGAATGTATGGTTTACTTTTCTACAACATGAGATACGCCATTGGTTTGACGTATGGCATAGACTTTTAAGAGACAAACATATATTCATGAATGTACATTCATCTCTTCATTAGATTTAGCTAATAAAGCTTTCCTCTCACTCAGGTAGCCATTTGGGCTTCCATATAGAAAGCTTTTGTATGAATATCAGAACCAGATACCACACAAACAAAAATCAAGTTTAGCGCATATCAGAACATAGTCCAAATCCAGATAAGTGCTCCAAGAGATGATGCGTTGTATAAGTCCGTCCCAGAAGTAGTTGATTTCAATATTATCAATCTGAATGTAGATTTGAGTTGCAGGAGGATGCCGATTATCCCATTGAGGATGACTATTGGAAGTTGGTGCTGGACAGAAACTGTTCAAAGTCTCCTCGAAACTGCTGAGGTAGGACCATGTTATTTGACCTACAACTGTTATATGTCTCGAAATTCGTTATCTTCTAAGTGTGAATCATCTTCAATTACCTTCAGTGGATAAATGTCTAATATTCGAAATACTTGAGATCGAAACTCCTGTCTTTAACCCTTTTTAATGGAGCCACAGACACACTCTACAAGCCATCTGTACCAATAAATATGAATCATAGTATGTATGACATTTTTAAATACTAGACTTCTAGTCAATTTAGAATTCATTGTTCCTATCCCTTCACTCATATATAAATATGTAGTTTAATCGATGATAGTCGAAGGTGGGAAATCACACAAACTAAGCTCGATCTTTTACTGATTTAAACCACCTTTACCAAAGAAGTGTGAAATACACACCAGATCATAAGTACAATTAATTAGATAATTAACTTGCTACTACATCCATACTTATACCAAGTTAACCAAGATTATTTAGCAATTGAATAGTAAGAATTTTCTTCAATACTAAACCTTGAACTATTAAAAAGTGAATCAGAACTGTGATTTGAAGAGTCAATTATCTGACCAAATAAGTAAATACAACTTACAACATAATGCAAGACAGAAACCTAGATTAATGTTGTATGACTTGATCATCAATGTTTCAAGTCACGGAAAGAAGTTATGCTATGGATTAATATACAAATTGTTAATCACCCTAACACACTAGTAATTGATATGTGTATACACCTTAGATTTTAATGCCTGATAGAAACTTATCTTAATCAATACGTTTGAAACACAAGACATACTTCTGTTCAATCCCCGAGCTTTACCAACCGTAAGCTGTAAACGACCTACAATTTTGTAATGTCCCGACATTTGTTAACGGAATAGAATCTGGAAACATTTTTTGAGCAGTATGTATCATGTCGTTCAGTTCTGCAGGAAGACCTTTGTCGTAACTTAAGTGATGTGTGGGTTTGTATTTCAGTGTGTAAATGCATGTTTTGATAACGAACGATAAGTAAAATTGCAATGACATAGGATTTAAATCCGTTAATCTGATAAAAACCTGGCTATTGAAGGTCAGTCAGTCAAACCCAACATAGAGCCTGTCACATATGTAGATCGGCTCAAGTTGTCACACCATTAGCACAGAAAGGTGGCATTGTCAGGTCAATTTCCAGAGTAGTAGGGTTAGTGGCAATATTAATGTTAACAGAAAGGATTAGGCATGGAAGATAGAATTCAAAGAAATATAAACCAGTGAAGTAAAAAAAGTTATGAGGAATTCGAAAACTTAGAATGTAGTGGAAAACAAAAAACTAATGTACCTGGATTAATGCAAACGATTTCGAACCATGTCATTCAAAGTCGTTAACTATTGGTCACGATAATCATGAGGATCTCAACCATACAGTGTACACCTTTTAACATGGCTCAGTCTACTTGTCAATTCCGTCATGGACTGGTAGTCGGAGAAGTGAACTAATGGTCAAGAAGTTTGCCCCCAAATACCCTGGTAAGGCCGAGAGTGGGGAGAGTCCGCTCTCCCTCTCCAAATGCTCTTACATGGCCACGCGTATACAATCACCGACAGGAAAGTCCTGCTCACTGCCTCGCGGCATTACTGTTGTTCACGAAAATGAGAGGACGAAAAGCGAATGTCTGGCGCTTTAACCGGGTTGGTGGTCATGGAGAGTCCACCTAGGGGTGTTGGTTGGAAAACCCAGATTCCAAACCAATGATGCACATGGGCTCCAGTATCCTGAAGGAACAAATGACGTATGAACCAATCGCTGGTCACCGGCTACCATGGGTGGACTGCATCTCCTTACGATGCTCCAATGCCTTGTGGATCAGACCTTCAGGCCGAAGGCTCTGGGTGTGGTCCCCTAAGAAAACCATCTGCTTCGGTCTGGGCACCCGGGCAGTGCCACAGCCCTCACACATATCAAATGAGATCTGTGTGGCTCATATGTATTTGGTGTGATAAAATAAATTAAATAAATAAGAAGTTTAACTTGCTACTATTAGAGCACGAGTTTAATTTCTACCCGACTTGAGCAATCAGAGTAGTATCACTGACTCTGACATACAGAGTGTAACTGAAATCCGAGTACATAAATCTATATCCGAAGAGTTACAAAGCAAAACAATCTGGGAAGTGCTTTGAACTCAATCAAATCAATTTCCCAATCAAAGCTAAAATGTGATTAATTTTTAAAAAAAAACGTATTTGTCATTATTCACATACTTTCAGCGTTTTTGATAAGCCAACCAACTCGGTATAATACTCTGCATTTTCAATAACACGACGATCATAACCTCCAGCTATAATTAAATGAACATTTTCCGGTTTTATTTCAACGGTTGAATCAATAAGCTTATCCCAATGTGTGATCAAGTATTCTATGTAAAGAAAATGGTGTATAAATAACAAAATGAATAGTTTTTTTTCTTAGTGTGTTATTTTTTGTAATCAAATAATGACAAAATTAATAAAATAGTGACAGTTGCACGTTACAACATTGAACAATAGTTATAATATAATGAAGAAATTAACAAGTGGGGAAAATAATTAAAACAAAATGGACATTTGTCAAAATTTGTGCGCCAATTACACAGATGATACTATATGTAAAAATGATATTTGAAATAATATCGATTGAAATTCAAATACTTTCGTTTCCTCTAGAAAATTCATCCAAGCTACTTAGGGAATATAATCAAAGACAAATAGGATTTAAAACGTGAATGTGTATACGTGCTACTGTTCTTAGAGTTTAGTGGGGTATGAAGCCACGGACAGGAACAAAATAGTCGTTCAGTTGATTATACAACCAAAGGTACATAAAAGTAAGTTAAGTTGGTCGAAGTATAGGTTGATTAAAAATTAACGGATTGTGCTGTTACTTGTTAAACAACAACTTCAAGAGTGTAGCTAACTGTATTCTGTCCATTCTGACTCGTCCAGACATGAAACGCTTGGGCCGTTAGCCTTCCTTTATGACAGCCAGAAAGTCCCTGAAGTTTTATTTATTTGAACATATAAATATTAGTACAAAGGGGCATTGAATATGTATGCTCAATACAATTCACTTGATTTGTGTGTGAGCTATGATACTGCCCGGGTACCGAAACCGTAGCAGGTGAAGGTCTAATCCATAAGGCAGTGGAGCATCGTAAGGAGATGCAGTCCCCCCATGGTATCCGGTGACTAACAATTGGTTCGTACGCTAGTTGTTTCCTTAGGACCCTGGAGTCCACGTGCACCATTAGTTTGGAATCTGGGTTCCCCAACCAACTCCCCTAGGTGGATCCCCTGTGTTCACCAACCCGGTTAAAGCGCCGGATATTCGCTTTTCGTCCTCTCAATTTCGTAAGTAACACCCCCGCTGCGAGGCAGTGAGAACTTCCCTGTCGGTGACTGTATACGCGCGGCCATGTGAGAGCATTTGGAGAGAGAGAGCTGACTCTCCTTACCCTCGGCCTAACCAGGGGATTTCGGGGCTTTTAGTTGCTCCAAATTCAACCTTGTGCCATGTTTTTAAATTCTATCGTGCAGATGCCGATTTGTTCCCAGGCTTCTTGATCTTTCTGGAATTTGCGAACATGTTTCAAACATTGTCTATGTTTCTTTACATTTACATTCAGCTGTATGGATGTTTCTCACACAAATACAGTATTAATTTGAGACAATTTTGTTCTTCTTCTTTGGATAACCTATACGCAATTTCCATTTATGTCAACCTAACAGCATCACTAGCAAGAAAATAAACTCTTGTGATGTGTTTATTTAAAATTCTTTAGAATTTCTTACGATGCTTCTTTAAAAAACAGAACGACTATAGTGTTTTTCCATTCTCTCTGTAGACACATTTTCCATGATCTTGTGCAGAAACTCTTCAGAGAAATCATTTATATACAACATTAAATTTAAGTCGGTCTGCTTGTTTTCGGTCTCCATAACAAGGTTATTGCTTCTATTTATTAAGTTTCTAGCAACTTGAAATCTACATATCTCTCAGAATGTGTTGATTTCCAGAATATACTGTTTCCTACATGATTGTTGTGTATTCTTTTAATCAAACAATTGGAAAACGTCATGCGCATTTAAATATTTTTAGGTCGTTATTATTCTTGGTACTACTGTTACTCATGTTATCTTAATATCAAATTTTGTTTATCAGACAAATCAAGAGTGGGAAAGAAGCAGGATCATACAACATAATAGCACTTAAGTCAGACATAACGGTAACCGCGGAGTTGCTCCACGTCCTATTCAGAAAGATTTGGTAGGAACAAGTATCAACAGACTGGAAAGAGGAATATCTCGTCAATATACCGAAAAAGATATTAATAGACGTGAGGACTATAAAGGCATTACGTTATTGTTAGTGCCAGAAAAAGTTTCCAAGTGTCCCTGAACTGAATGAAAGATGTAGTAGATGCTCAACTTGGAGATCAACAGACTGGCTATCGTACCAACCAAATCGCGGCACTACGGACTACCGTTGAAAAAACAGTTGAATGCAACCCAGTACTGCAAGATAACGAGCAGTAACCCAATCTGAAAGAAGTGACCTTTAAATACCTGAGCAGTGTCATTAATAAACAGGAAGGGCATGATGCAGATGTGAAGATACGGATAGGCAAAGGTCAACAATCCTGAAACTGAAAAGAACTGTCAGCCAAGATCAAAGTCGCAATCTTCGATACGAAAGTCAAGACAGTTTTACTGTACGGAATTGAAGCTTCAAGAACTAACATACTTGTCATCAAAAAGGTACAAGTATTTATAAGCAGCTGTCAACACGAAATAATCCGGATCTACTGACTAAACACTAATAACCTACTGCGGCAGAGAACAACTCAGCTTCCAGATGAGGGAATCAGAGAAAGACTGTAAAGGCAGATAAGACAAACTGGAAGAAATCATTGAGATATATCACAAAACAGACCCCAACTTGGGATCGTCAAGGCGAAATGACAAGAGGTAGACCAAAAAACACAATCTACCGAGAATTAGAGACAGACATGAAGAGCATCAATAGGACTCGGCAAAAACTGAGAATAAGGAGCCCAGGTGAAGTTGATTTGAGATTCCTAGTGACTGGCGTATGACCCATGGAGAGTAATAGGTGCAAGTAAATAAGCAATAAGAGTGAAGCACGAGATGAAAATTTATTTGAGAACAACATAATTTACCAAAGCAATACTTTGTTTAACTAGACAGTCACTTTCAAGATTTTAACCGTAACTATTCAATAGTCGCAACCATAAGTTATGGTAATTAGTATTGAAAAGATCCGCTATATCAATTGATGGAATAATATTAAAAAATTCAATAAAATAAAACTTGATGAAGTTATTCGGTCAATAGTTTTTCATGATTCTCTTTTGTTCTGATCTAGTAGTCAAAATCCAGTCATTTTAATGCAAAAATCTCGATATATAGATTGAAGCTTAATTTTTAGTGAAAAAAAATCGGTGCAAAATTTTAGAAAAAACTACAATATAGAGGACTTTAACACTTCATTACGTCCCGAAATGAATAGAGATAGTCAAATTAAGGGTACTGAAATATGTGAATTTGATTTGAACAGTAAGGATGCAACCTTTGTATGGCGTTATTACACAGATTAAAAAACGAGATGTATCTCCAATCTTGAGTAAACTAATACTCTTTGTGGATTTATAAGCGTACATCACTTAGTATTCCATTTAAACAAGTTAAGAAGTGACTACTTTCGACGTAACTGATTAATCTGTTCTTCGTGGTTTATCATAATACAGTAAAAAATATCTTGTTCAATTTAAATAAATTTTATTGAACACGTATTTAAATGGCTACACAAAAAAGTGAATTTCAATGGTCAAATAAAGTCACAGGATAGACAAATATCTTCCTCCATTGCGAAATATTTGGCTGACATCAGCTATAAGGTTGATATCAGGTCAGCCTTTGTAATTTGGTACAAAGGTTCTCAAGGGCGTGTACTAAGGTTTATTGAAGCCTTGGCTATACGAAAACGAGAACATCCTTTATGTGTTTGAAAGCAATTTTTCCTTACTCTTAACGTACCCTGGTAATACTGATTTATCATCCAGAATAGTTTTGACATTGTTTTTGTGTACTTTATTATTACTATTATCTTTGTTTCCATTTACTATTTAATTTGTCTGGTTGACCTTTTATTTTCATATATGATATGTGTGATCGTATTATTGAAAATGTATTGCGCAAATATATCACATAATTCTGATAAACTTCGTCTTCTCATCTCATTATAAAAATTGACTTCTGTTAGTCAGATTCTAATGTGTCCAGTTATGCAAATGACTTTTGTTAATTTGCGATGATTAGAATTAGTAGACGGGATAAAAAAAATAAACTATAAGGAAAGATTAAAAACTTACCAAGACTGTACAAAGCCAATGAGAGATTCTTTTCCTTTCATATCGATTAATTGATACGAATATTATTTTCGCTTTCTCAGGTATAATTTCTGATGATAAATATTTACGATATTCGTATTTCGACTGATGATCACTTTGAAATTGTGTTGATGTTGGTAAGCATAAACTTTTTTCATTTGCAATTGGATATAAAATACGCAGTTGTACGTGATTAAGTGAAGTAAATGTTTCTCTAAAGATATTAGCTGGAGTTTAATAATAATAATAATAAAGTAGATATTTCAGGAAAAATAGACGTTAGACAACTAAGAATAAAATAATATGCATGGTCCAAATTTATTTGATCAACTAAGCATATTTGACAGGAAACTATTAAATATGAGGGAATAAGTGGAACTTTGAAAACGGTGGATTCCTACATACAATTTTATTGTATTTGCTAAATACTAAGTTTGTGGTCTTCTTATATTCCCCGAATTGTAAGCTGCTAACTGACTTATTACCTATTGATATATCTTTCACCATCCCTAAATTACAGTTAACTGATTATATACCTTCTTATGTTGATTATCAGTTATTACTAATGATCAATTGTGGTTTCTTGATTAATGTAAGTTTTTAAGTTCCAAGAAAACGCAGTTAACCGGTTAGTTTCACTTATATTCTTACTGGAAACGTTGAGGACAATACTAATTCGCATGGGTTAATCAGTATCAACACACTTAGAGGGCATTGAGGCAAGCAAACAATATTCTAGTGATTGTATCAAGTGGCCCTGGGGTGTATCCCCGTGTAGGTTCGAACCCCACCCCAGCAGGCGGCTGCCCCCAAATGCCCTGGTAAAGCCGAGGGTAAGGAAAGTCAGCTCTCCATCTCCAAGTGCTCTCACATGGTCACGCGTATACAGTCACCGACAGGAAAGTCCTACTCACTGCCTTGCGACGGGGTGCTGCTTACGGAATTGAGAGGACGAAAAGCGAATGTCTGGCGCTTTAACCGGGTTGGTGGACACGGAGAGTCCACCTAAGGGGAGTTGGTTGGAAAACCCAGATTATAAACCAGTGGTCACATGGACTCCAAAATACTAAGGAAACAACTAGCGTATGAATCAATTGTTGGTAACCGACTACCATGGAGGGACTGCATTTCCTTACGTTGATACACTGCCTTATGGATTAGACCTTCAGGTCGAAGGCTCCGGGTGTGGCCCCTTAGGAAAATTACCTGCTATGGTTTCGGTACCCGGACAGTGTCATAGCCCTCACATAAATCAATGGTAACTGTTATTGTCCTCATTGTTATTGTATAGCGCATATGTTTTTAGTGCCCCTTGCACCAATGTTTGTGTATTCAAATAATAAAATAACAAAAACCATATAGAAGTTGAATTTATAACATAACCCGACCGTTGTTGCTAACTTGTTGTGGTGATCGAAGTTGCCTATCGTGACGAACCAATCGAGCTATACTGGCTAGAACAATCGTTCCTCAACGTCCTACCATGTCAGACAGGTCGGTTGAGGAGCGGTAAGACTAAAAGCAGTAAATGAAAGGTCTGAGGGCGAAGTCATACTGCAGACTGTATAGAGGTGTGACGGCAGTAAGGTGTTTCCTTCAGACAACCAGCATAACAGCGATGCTGCCTTCCCATAAGGAGGGATGAGGTTAGAAAAGGTCGACCCTAAAAATGCACATCTCGCCTTATCCCATGGATTTCCATTCTCGGTGGTAAGGTTCCAATAAATACGGAGCTAACACGAAAAATACTCACGAAAAGGTCGTATGTGACTGACCTTAAGCAGTTGTCCCTTGGGCACTGTGGTCACGCCCTCAAGTCACTAAGACCACCCCTATTATTACTATTTACTTCAACACATAAATATTGGTACAAGAAGGCACCAAATGTATATGCGCCACACCATATTTGTGTGTGTGGGCTGTGATACTGCCCGGGTGCCCAGACCGAAGCAGGTGGTTTTCTTAGGGGGCCACCCCAGAGCCTTTGACCTAAAGGTCTGATCCACAAGGCAGTGGAACATCGTGAGGAGATGCATTCCCATGATAGCCAGTGACCAACAATTGGTTCATACGCCATTCGTTCACTCAGGATACTGGAGCCCATGTGCACCATTGGTTTGGGATTCGGTTAAAGCGCCAGACATTCGCTTTTCGTCCTCTCATTTTCGTAAACAACACCCCCGCCACGAGAAGGCAATGACTAGGACCTCCCTGGGAGAGGATATATACGCGTGGCCGTGTGAGAGCATTTCGAGAGGGAGGGTGAGCCCACCCCACTCTCGGCCATACCAGGGCATTTGGGGGTAAGACCACCCCTAGCACATTTTCTTTTTCAAGAACCTCCAAAAAACCCCTTCCACAGTGTGAGATACCGGAAAGTGAAAACTGCCCTCATACCTTTAACAGCATTCTAGATCATTGTATTCATAACGTAATTTTAAAACAAGATACGGTGAATTTGAAGACAACAGAATAGTTGAATTAATTAAAAAAGTAGAACATTGATATGAACTACTCACATTAGATGATAAATTAAATCCTTAATCTTTGTACGTTAAACTCGGTTTCGAAATTAAATCGATAATCAGATTAACTTTAAAAATGAACTGGTGCCTTAGTTGATTAGAGGCCTTTATTTTCCAACTAAGACGTTGGAGATTTGAAGTTTTTCCTTATCTAACTTGGTTTGGGCAGTCGAAGGGTACTACTACCAACATTCAACACGACTAGTATGGCTCCAAGTACATGAATCCGTTTATCGTGGGTGATTTAATTTATTGATTACTAACTATACGATAGGTTCTTACGTTTTTGAATTAAGGATCACTATATGTCCTAGTGATTTAACTTGACGTCTTTACTAATCCCTACACCATGAAAGACCTGTCGTTTCCTTAAAAATAAAAAACTAAGTTGTTTAACAGGAAACTGTTACATCGAAATGTCTGCTTAAGTAAAATCGACCAAAAACTAGTGTGAGATTAGAACTATCAAAGTCACAAGGATTATTTAGTAAAGACTATGGACGAAAATGAATAATTATTAAAATGCCAAGTTGATACCTCCAACTACGGTTGATACCACCCTATCGCCCACCCCCGCCAATTTGAGTCATGACAAATTACTTCCCAACAACAGCTGTTACGTTGACGTGATGGTTGGGGTTCTATATTATGATGGCCTAAACGACTTATATTAGTTGGAGCACTTGTTCCTTTAGGTTGTGTTATATCAAACAGCTAAGTTGGAGGACTGTAAGAAAACATCAAACTGATATCTGGGGGAAAACTCATACTTTTAACTGTACTGAGATGTGACAATAATAAGGTATTTCCCTCAAATAGAAGATGGTAGACTAAGAAAACGCACATACATGCTCCATGCTAATGATGCAGTTGATTCTACCAGGTAGATGTACTGTATCTTGATACCATAGATAACTTCATTTAGTGAGCAGTCATCACTCAGCCAGTGTGTATCATCCATTGATTACTATTGGAAACATTCACTTACCAACCAAGGAATTCGTTCATAATAGGTACAGTAAAAAAGGGTTGTTTATTTACTAGTCGTGTATTTCACACTAAAATGTACGTAAATATTGTCAGACCGGTCACAGTTTAAGTGATAGAATAAATAAATAACTCACATGTGAATTTACTGTTAACAAGAACAATATCAGCCATTCCAGTTGATATCTGCTCAATATAATCAATAGGTATTCGGTACAGCTTTTTCAACAAAAATTTTTTATTTTTCGTTAATAGCAAGTCTGGAAAATGACAATAAAATATCGTCTTCGAATCAAGAAATATCATTTGCACATGAACTTACCTTGTATCCAAAAGCCCGTAGTAGAATTATGGGGGCTGATATTTGGTCAACAAATGTTACATCTGGTTTCTTTTCATAAAATAATAAATATAGTGTTGCAAGGATGAGGCGAATATACGCACATAAAGCTGTCATGTAACCAAAGATGGACCGAGGAAACCAATCAGCTACAACTGTAACACTCAGATTTGACTGTAATGTTTCTTCGAAACAATGTTTAGGGTCGTGGTGATTTGTAATAATGCTGACATTATAACCACATGACTCCAAGGCTACTGCTGAATCCACTATAAGTCTTTCGGCACCACCTATGCCAAGGTCTGGATGTAGAAATACAATCTGCTTTGGCATTTTGTAAATGACCAAGATTCAAGAGTTTCGCAGGAATTTGTATAGAAGAGTAGGACTGGAGTCTAGAAAACGAAATAGTTTGAGCAATATATTGTATCATATTTGCGATTAATTAGTACAATTGTAAGTTAACTTATTTCGATCTAACTTAACAAACAATATACTTGTACTAAGTGCTTGAGTATGTCTTGAGACGACATGATTAAGCTTACTTTGACTCAGGATATCATTCCAGCATGCAATGCACGTCCGGTGTAACGCAGTCAGACGTGTCAAAAGGGTGACTCTAATTTATGAACGACCTTTGATCGACTCTAAAGTGACCTTGAGAAATGTTAGCCAATCAGCAAACAGTGAATTTAGAGTAAAAGTATATCAAACAAAACCAAAGAAATAAAGTGGATACACTTCTTATACGTGGTTCAAAAACTTGTGAAGGTTGGAAAGAGGTTTAGAGGTTTTTAAATCGTAATGAATAAGGTAGATGAAATCATCCATATGGCTAGTAAATAGTCGGCCTCTGGAGCCTCGACCACATAGCTTTAATATTGCTTGTGTGCACTCCGGTTGTTATTCACAAAAATGCCACTTGTTGATAACGACACGATGCACATAACCAAGTCTATATGGGAGTCTGTACGCTCTCCAATCTTCTGCACGTATTGTAGTACTTCGCTGCAACTGGTTGCAGAGTTACTGCAGTGTTACTGGTGCTTTTATTATCAAGTTCCCAATAACTGTCATAATTTGCCTTAGATGGAAATTATGTATGGGGTTTTCATCACGAACTGAGATCAGCTATAATGACAGAAATCTATTTAAATGCCCAAGCTCTCAACTTTGGGGAAATCCCCAAAGTGAAATGGCTGTAGCGGTAAATAAATCCCCAAAATAAATAGCATTGGTTTTCGACATTGGATGCTGACCATATGTTTTAGTTGACTCATCTAGCTGAAGTTGCTCGGTCAGGCATCCGCACCAGATCACGTGTGGTAACGCCGTGCTCAACATCTACCGCAATCGCTAGCCAGATTAGATCAGAGAATTCCGATATATTGGTAATCGCCAAATACACTCCTTCGATCTCCTCGACTCTGTCTTTTGATTTCTCTGGGTGGGAACGAAATACATTAGAAGGTGTTACTGGTAGAAGCGTTGTCAATCACTGAATACCTGTGACATCATCATGGCCTTCCCCAAAGTTTGAGGAAGTTTTGGGGAAATCCCCAAAAGATGTGTTGCGCATTATTCCACAATAAGATTTCATCACCATTTGAATTATTAAACCTTAATTTATTAAATTACAATTAAGAAGTGTTAATTTTAATAAAAAACGACTTTTGGTCACGAATAGTCGGTCTAATTTCAGGTTTTGCTTTAATACGTCAAACAGACACGAGACAATGAGTCATCGGCTTTAAACCACTTTTTCAAATGTCTCACGCCATACAGGTGGGTTGTTTTACTGTCCAGAACTTCGATTATTGTTTTTGTTTAGTGTAACTTAAGTTAATTGTCTCTTTCAGAATAATAATTTACAGCTCGATAGGATTGCTAAAAGGCAGGCTCACGCCGCCAGACACTTGAGGTTGATGGGCTGTTCCAGATCAACCTTTTACAGAAGGTTGCGGAAGTTAAGAGCTGAATTCATAAATAAGTATAAGTTAACCAGCAGTGACGAAGAGAACGACAATTCAGTTGTCGTCACAGAAGTAGGGGCCACCGTAGCTACAGAGCAGTGTAACAATATTGTCTCAGATACAGCCACTGCTTCATTTAGTTACGTCCAGTGTTCTAACACTACAGCCGACGGTAGTCTAGCTTTATTTGTTAACAGTTGTTAATGAATTTATGGGTAGTGTGGTTTCAGAAATGTCTCCGGCTATTCATCTTTCAATGGAAGAACAGGTGTACGTGGATTACTCTGACAGACATTCTTAGCAAGTGTATTGGTATACGGACACGAAATTTTGAGGTTATTATGCCCCTTTTGCATACATTTTAATAGGGAATGTGACATCACTTCTCAATGGCTGTCGCAAACATAATACTTTATGCGGTAAGTGTCTGTTGGTTAGTGCTTTGGCCTCATCCATCAGGAAGTGTTAACGAATTTTCATAAGTGTAATGAATTTTCAATTTTTACCGCCTCGGCATTGATTTACAGCATCATTCAGGACAATACATCTTGGTTAATGATAAATCCATGGATTTGGCTAATTAGTCAAATGGATGAAAAACTTTCGTGCCAAAATCCGAGATCTGTTATCTTATACCTTATTGATTCGTCCATAGATCATAAACTCGCCTTTTTATTTTTTGTAGCTACTCAATCATCACGAATTTTATAAAAATTTTCCTGTGAACCGATCGGACGTTAGTATAAGCACTCAAGTTGGCGCCGTAACCTTGAAGTCTCTAAAACGCTTCTGATTGGCTCGTCCATAAATTAGAGTCTCACCGACAAATTAAATGACTGCATGAACGTGAATATTACTATTATTCCGACTAGCGATACACTAAGTTGACGTTGCAACGTTGATTTTAAAACCACCCAAAACTACTCAACTGTAACAATTAAATTAAACGGAGCAAACTCTCGACCTTCGATTTAATGCAACAAAGGCGAGTTCATGAAGCATATCTTACTGCTAGGAGGGGAATAGTAATAATACCTGGTCAAGTAAACTGAAGGAGGTGGTAAAGTACTTGAACTTTCTACTTGGTGGTTGAGATTCTAAGGCCTTTATCAATCAGCCACGTAATGGAGCATTATTTCCATTCAACATCGAATTTACATTTTAAGTCACTTATCTGAGTTAAAAGATCTTGAGTAGTGGAGTGTGGCATCTTTAGTGGTGAGTCCGACGTGGTTTGGCACATTGATTCGTAAATCGTCCATCTGTTCCTTGTTGCAACTTTATCATTTTTTGCTTTAACGTTTACATATTATCGTTTTTTATTAATTTTGTATATTTTCCCGTTTATTGCTATACTCTATATTCATCGTGACCGACCTGATTCCCTAACTGTTTAAAGTCGAGACTCTTTCGCCACTCTCATTTCATCTAACACCATTTTGGCCCGATAACATCGAAGCCTGGTTCTACTACGCAGAAGCTGGCTTCCACGAGCACGATGTGACACAACAACGTGCACAGTTCCTCACAGTTGTGAAGGCACTGCCGCACTAGTTCCACAGGTACATCACACCTAGTAAGTTCGCTAGTGATATCTCGGTTCCTTATGAAACTTTTAGGAAATGCTATTATTAAGCGTAGAATTCTGTAGTGGCATTGGACCCTAACCACACGATCCTCAAAACTGAACACGAAACAACCGGGAAAATAGACATTCAAAATTTAATGCCCAGACAAACCCAACGATAGAAAAGGAGCGAAGGACTGATAGAGTTTAATCGGACGGCATGGGTCGGCCTTGCATGCGTGGTCATTCATATGTAACTTAACACTTTTATTCATGCTAAATTTGTTCCTCTATTTCCAGCCTGAATGTGTTCTCCATCATATATTGTTGATCGTTACGGTACGATGAAACAGGGTAGACAATAATGTGACTTCCACGTAAGACCTAGATTATGCTGTTACATAGTAAATCTACAATTTAGGATTAGGTCTATTACTAGAGCAGTACTAAAAATGACAGATCTAACCGACCGACAAAGATTAGATCAATTTTTCAATAACATCGATCTACAACACGGCCCAGTAAAAGACATGTTACTACGAGAGAGGCCATTGGTCAACGGACCTTCGACGATGACCTATTTAGACAACTTCCCTTGTCTAAGTTCCCACAACATATGAAGGCAGTGCTTGTCTCCTTTCAAAACAACGTTGTGGACAGGCCGCCCGCATCTGCTGATCAAACTCTGGAGATCAGCAGAACTTCCAACTACAAGTCAAAGAAAAACCTCAAACGATACGAAGTGGCGTTGAGAAACCCAGTCACACTCTGACAAGTTGCCATGGTGTTTGCCATGACCGTAGACGATCCCAAACTCTTCGAAGCAGCACTTTATGAAAACGACCCGGCTCTAGATCACGAGAGACCAAAAACCCTGATTACTGCTGGGATCATAATCAGTACGGATAGTCTTCTCCAAGACTAACTGTACAACATTTACACCTCGACCAATAACCAGTGATGTTGTAACGACCGAACGGCCAATATTCGGTTGGAACAACGGACTGACGAACCTAAAATTTATTTGATTAGACCAGACCAAGTTCCTCTGTATAGCTCACAACGCGTCTTTGAGATACTCGTATTATATTATATCAAAACACAAACTCTGTGCTCAATATATACGATTCTAATTAAGAAAACAGAACAAATTACATCAAAAATACAAAATATTTCAAATGGTACAGCCTGTGCTATACAGTCAGAAGTTTCCCTAACGCAAAGTAGCGCGCTAAACAATGAAAGAGACAGTTAATACTAAAGAGTTTGATACCTGAGAATCAATACAAATATTCACAATAAGATAGGACCGAATATCTATCTGCAGGGATTGCAGCAATTCTCCCAATCAGACAGTCAGAAGGTTAACATTCACAAACTGAACCACGCCGTGACCTTGAGCTTAGTCAAACACGACCTTACTGTCAATGGTCCGGCAACATGCAATAGAAAATTAGGTAACAAAAATAAGTCCTTAATCAAAATCACATAATAAAGGCTCAAACGGGGAGGACTGAAGAACAAAGGACATGGTTAAAGGAAATCGGAACAAAGGTTGGAATACACAAAAGGGAGAAGGAACAGACAAATGAAATTACTGTTCGACAAAGAAGCTGCAGAGGGATTTTCACTGTTCTCTTTCCGTTACACCGGCCCCCAAGATCCCTCCAGCTACGCAAAGACACCTTAGAATACACTTCTGTCATGGCTCTCCTTACTAACTGCTCTATATCAATGGGACTTACAACAGTACGCCTGTACATCCATAAACCTAAGCTACAATCTACAATTAC